TTCTTAAGAAGTGATGTAGCTTAGAGAAAATGAAATGTCAAGTGTATATTTCCAAAAAGATTCTTAAGTATGATGCAATGCTGTTCTCGTAAAATATAAAAATACATTAAACTTGATTTTTGCTTGACGTGTTATACTATCTGCTTATGGTGTTCCATACTTGAATGGATATAGTGAAATGGTAGGTAGTATGGACAGAGACCTTTTTATATCTGAAAATAATAATAAGTATTAAGTCAGTTTTTACGTATATATCTAATCACGTCAAATCTCTAATATCACATTACATTATTATATTGAACCGATTTTGTTCAAATTTTGCACGATGACAAAGTTTCATAGGTGTAACGTAAAACTAGACGGACGATTTTGGAGACTTCAGGGCTGGACTCGAGTGTTTTTCACTTTTTTGTTTTTTACCAAAATCTTTTTGGTATTGATATGTTGGACTGTGTACAAAAAAGGTGTGGTGCTAATCAATTAGCAAAATGAATTGATTATCACTCTTTGCTGTCTTAGTTAAACATTTTTATTTATGCAAATATGTATCTCATTTTTAGCAATTTATATGTCATAAGTCTCAAAATTTCAAGGGTCATCAACGTGGTTTTGAGAACTCAAAATTCCAGTTTTTTTGTTTCTTATTTTATTAAGTGCTACGCTCTGAAAGTTAGGGTAAACCGAGGAAAGATGCCCATATTTTTTTTAATCGTCTGTAATACTTTTAATAATTGGGTTTTAACAAAAAATATAATATTTTAGGGTAGGGCATGGTAATTATTATTTGTTGCTCTGTGCAAATTTATTATAAATATGGTTTTTCATTTTGTTGATAAATATCGGTATTTTTTATATGTGGGCCATCTCTCCTATAGTGTTTAGTAGAGATAGCCATATCATAGAAGGTAAGATGGCCATATGAAATTCAAAGAAAATAATGAGTTTTATAAGAATACTCGTGAAATACCTATGAGACTTTATTATTACATATAACAGAAAAAAAACTAAAAACTTAATAGCCAATTCTTTTGCCAAAAAAGTAATTTACATTAAAAAACTAACTAACTTTTTTCCTTTCATAATAGCGACAGGAGGAAGAAAAGTGCCCTCGGTGTTACAGCAGGCAACAACTGTTACAGTCTCGGCCTTTTCTGCTCAAGCAACTGACGAAACTACTTTTGATCCTTTTACTGCCAAAACTTCCCCCGGTCTTGTATTTAGTTGCAATCCACCCTCGTCCATATTAAAAATATTCTTCGGGTTTATCAAGATATTGTTTTCTTCCAGAACACTCGGCAGTACTTTAAAGTTATCAACTAATACCTTTCTAGACATTGCTGTGCACCTCGCCAACGACAAACTTTCTGCTTTTCTAACTGATATTTGTGGATCTCTGGTGAGAAATGAATGCAGCCAAACTTAACCAGCTTTCTGAAGCCGATTATTAAATTTATGTTTTAAGCCCAGCTGGACAGCAAATTTATAAGCTATGGTTCGCAAATCATCTCTAGTAAGTGGAGATCCACTTTTTGCATGTCTTTAATATGCCGAACCAGTCTGTTTTCATGTGCAGCTCCGAAAGTAGTATCTGGACCCAATTTTTTCTTATGGTCTTCATTCTTTCGCCTTTCCAATGTCTTTCTCGGAATGCCGTAAGTTTTTCAAGCCTGACGTACAGATAATCCCTCATCTTTAACAGTACTCATTGCAGATTTCAGTTGCTCCTCGGTCCATTTGGCCCTCTCCAATGATTTTCTTTCTTCTCTCCTTTTCTTCGAGGAAAGATGGCCATAGCATGATTTAGATTTTATATACGTTAATTCGAGTATAACGCTTAGGCAACATAAAACACACCACACATGGTAAAATAAACACCAGACGGATTGTTAAAAACTAACAAAATTTTATGAAATTTGGCTAGTGGAAAATTGTATTCAAAAACTATTGAACCTACATGTATGTAAACAGTAATTTTAAAATAACTTACCTTTAAACTTAGTTAATTGACTCAGAGTTTCTAGTATAGCACGATCACACAACAGCATATTACGCCTTATTGAAAAAAACGCCGTCTAATAACTATTATATACATATAACCTCGATTTACCCTATATATATATATATAGATATATATATATATATATATATATATATATATATAGATACAATTTATTATTATAAACAAAAGGGTTACTTTTATCGGTAATTTTAATGATTTGATTCTACCCACTGATATTGTGCAACACGAGTTGCTTAAATGAAACGGCATTTGATATGCAATTTCGCTAAATATGACTTTTCGGGTGAACTTGAAAATAAGTTAAAAATCCACAAAAAACGTAGTATTTATCTCAATTTTTTATGCTAGTATAATAATAGATTTATTCACGTATTGTACAAACATATTAAATCAATATTAGCTTTTTCATGTTTTTTGACTTACTGATTATTTTTGAACGTAGTTCAAAACGTTTTTGCGAGTTAACACTTGAAATAACTTAAAATCAGTTTGTCTACTGCCGGACACAGCAATAAGAATTGAAAATTCTCGAAAATTTTGGAATCAGGAATGGTTCATATAGTTGCAGATGTTGCTAATAACGTTTTTAATGTCTGTGTACCAAAATTTTCCCAAGGCATATACAAGCAATTTCAGGGTATAAAACTGAATCGATTTTGTTAATAGTCAGTTATGCGAAGAGTGTCAATCTAAATATAGATACTAATGTGCGACTTGTACCATATGAACCTACTTGACGCTACAGTAATTCTCAGTATTTTTATATTTTATACATAAAGAAAGGACTATTAATGAAACACAGGGAATTTATTATTTACGGAAACAGTGACGTTTGGGATTATACCTAAATAAATTATTAGGTATACCTTCATCGGAAAATAGACTTTTTGATTTCCATATGATGCAGAGAAAATAGGACAACTTTATGTATTTTTCTATTTCTTATCAATTAATAAATAACGGTTGTATCTATTTCTCAGCCAGTGGGAGTGCGACAAATAATAGGTCGATTTTCTAGCTATTAAATTTAATAACATGTTTAGACGTTTGCTCATGCATGGCAATCTCGGATTTGTTCAGTCCTACATACTGAGTGTTTACGAGTACGTTATCATTATAGCTACATACCTGTTGAAATGTGGTTATTTATTGTCTGTATTTTGCAAGAAAATAGAATATAAAATGTATTCGAACCAATTCCTCATCTTTCGTTACATAATAATAGTAATCATTTATTATCAATTTATGGCAGGGTTTCCCAACCTTTTTTTTGTTGAGACCCCCCGGACTATAAATTATATTTTCATACCCCCCTTTACTTTTTTAATAAATACAAAAAACGCACATTATATAGGAATATAGGTACAAAGACTTTTATTTTAATTCTAATAAAGAAACTTTAAAAGTTTAAATAAACTAATAAATGTTTTTTATCGCAAAACTTGGATAAAATGAGAGTAGGTACTAATGAGACACTTGAGGCTGCATGTTCTGTACCATTTGGTTGATTCTAGGTTCTGTTTTTGCCAGAGCTATCATCAGGTCGCTATCGACATCAAGACGATTTCGCTGTTTAGTTTTGATTAAAACTAGAGCAGAAAAGCCTGTCTCACATATGTAAGTTGAAGAAAAAGGAACTAGTATCTATTCGTAAAGCAAGAGAGACGTCGAATTAACAGGCAATCTTTTGATCCAAAATTTCTCCAAAGTTAAAAGATGGAAGTCACCTTTCATGGACGAATCAGCCTTCATTTCTAGAAATTCTTCCTGAACTTCTGGTAATTGTGACACATCGACAACAAATGGATTTCTTGTCATGTGCCATATTTGTGACTCTGAATTGATGTCTCTGAATTGATGTCTCTGAATTGATGTCTCGATAGTATCGACGAAATTCGTCTTCCAGCGCTTACAAATGAGTTTTTATGTCAGCTTTTAAATTTGCGTCCACTATTTTATTTTTAATTGCTTCGATCAGCCGAGATAAAGGTATGACACTTTCAGAAGACACTTTTTGATTCCAAAGTTGAAGCTTTGATATGAACCCCTGAATATAATCATAATTGCTCATTAGAGTGTTTTTTCTGCCCTGAAGTTTCAAGTTTAGCTCATTCAAGGAGTTAAATATGTCAACCTCCATTGAAATGTGTCATCTTTGAACATTGCCAAGAAATCGTGTTTTTCTTTGAACTCAAGAAAAAGAATTACCTCTTCTTTCAATTCATCAAGGCGAGCCAATATGATGCCTTTGGACAACCAGCGTACTTCTGTATGGAACAGAAGAACTTTGTGATCAGAATCGAGATCCTCTCAACGTAAAGTAAATAACCGACTGTTCAAAGCGCTGCCCTTGATGTAGTTTACAATCCTTATAGCCGAGTCCAAAGTCTGGCGCAATTTCTGTAGCAATGTTTTGGAAGCCTAAGCTTGCCGATGAATAACACAATGTGTACTAACCATTGCGGTTTTTTTTCCTTGAGCTCTTTAGCTAAGCCCGATTGTACACTTATCATTGCAGGTACGCCATTTGTACAAAGTCCAATGAGTTTCTTCCAATCCAAATAATTTTTTTCAATAAAATTTTATATGGAATTAAATATATCGTCAGATGTAGTACCTACCCGCTGTCAAAGATTGGGAGTATAGCATCTCTTCTTGAATGATATCTCCGCCGATGTAACGAACATAAACTATTAACTGTGCACAATTAACGATGTCGGTGGATTCATCGCAAGTAATGGCAAAAAATCATTTGTGACTTTATGTCTGCTGCAATGTCATCGATTCTACGCTTGACTGCGTTATTCGAAAGAGAAATAGACTTCATTTTTTGCTCTGCATCTTCTCCTAAAATTATCTGCGTGGCTTTTAGGACACGTGGTTTTTCACCGATAGTATGAGGGTTCTTTTGCGTTGCTATCATAAAAGCTATTTCAAATGAAGCTTTGAGATGCGGCGATACACCTGTGTGATAACTTACCGATTTATCCAGTCTCATGCGCTTGAGTGATTCTGCTGTAGAAGAAAAAAACTCTATCGTCTTCAAAACCAGAGTAGGATGTTGTTGCTTCAAATGCCTTTCAAGGCGATTGGGCCTCATGCTATGATTACTTAAAACTTTCATACATAACACACACTGAGGCAATTGTAACTCGTCCTTTTCTATGAAGGTATCTCCAAACCTAACGTAATCTTCGGAAAACTTTCTTTTTTTAGCTGCCATTTTGCACCTTTAACAATAAAACAAATAAGTATAATCGATATTATAAACAAACACTAATAAAGTAGACACTTATATTTAAATAAAAATAAAGCCAGTAGACAACGTAACCTAATTGTAAAAATAAACAAGCGTGCGATACGGCAGACAAAGATCAACTGCCCGTCTCCCTCCGCCCATCGTCCTGCTACCGTTTGCCGACGGTGAAACCCCGGGTAACATGACATCACCCGAATCCTATAATTGGTGGACCAAGATTGTTAACATAAGTTATAAATAAATAAGCAAAATACCTACATGTAATTACCAATTATATGCCCATTATTTTATCTTAATAACGTAATGTATTCAACAGTATAGTGGCTACCGGAAGATTTATATTTTTGTAGGCAGGTTGACGTTATAATAGTACATAATTTTAAATACATTTGGAATCAATATTAGGTACTTAAGGTTTGTCGTTTCAAAATTATTTCGCCACGTTGCTTTGATTGTGATGTGGTAAAAAAGTCCCAATGGCCGATCTATGAACGAGTCTCCACTCAATCAACAATTTAGTAAATTAAATAAAAATGGTAACTGAAGTTTGTAAATACATAAACTTACCTTGTAACAGTGGGACACAATAATTTGACACACTCAAACAGATTTCTCAACAAAACATGTACATCGAAACGTCAAATTTTTCGCAAGTTTGTGGGAATGATGCTCATCCGCGTCTGGTAGGTACACAGTTGTTTTCTAAATGATGAATGTTAAGCAGACCGCGGCGGGGGTGAGCGCGGATTTCATGTTATGACTTGTCGAAACTTGTATAAACTGCAATTGACGATGCCGGGTTTTGAAACAGCGGTTGACAGAATAAGTGAATATGATATTTAATTTCTAATTTTATGCGTGTAAGTTAAACATTACATTGTAATGTTATTTGTTAATGTTGTTTGTTGTTTTTTCTTTCTAAAATGCAAACGCTTCCCGCCCCCCTTGACATTTCTCTATGCTCCCCCTTGTTGGTAACTCCTGATTTATGGGTTAATGATTTTCTTTAGAGCAAATAAAACAGTATGTCCTCTCCATCCTGAAACACCGATATGTGTAAAACGTGTCAATCTATACATCTCTGTGGTGCATAATGCAATTACTATAGATATAGACCAAACATGAGTAATGCTTTGGTTGACTTTTTTGTCTAGTGGGGATCTATCGGTCACTCGCAGGTCTAAGGACGATCACGTCCCGAGGTATAATGTGCGTAGGAACTTTAAAAAGAATCTTTTACATTTGCTGGTTTTAAATTTAAAGTAAGAACACAAACATAGTACCTATGAAAGTTGGAGTTAGGCTGATATCAAATCTTGGAAAATACGTATTTGAATGTGTGTAAACTATCATGGTCTGTTGAATCTTCAAATTGGAAATGAAGTATCATAACATTCTTACATCTAATGCCGGGAATACTCTTGGGCCGAGGCAAGCCGCGCACCGAGTGAGGCAGCCTCGGCGCGCCGTGATGTGATTTGCCGCGAAACGAAATGCGATTCACCGAAACAACGTGTTGATACAAGCCGCGGCGAGCGCACAGCTACCAGCAAGCGGAATCGCACAGCAACCCTTTGTTGCGTGAAGCAGTGGATTACACGGTCGAGAAGATACGCAAACATTTCAGGCCGCGACTTGCACTGTGAACAAAATTAAATTCATGTTCAGACCTTTAAAAATTATAGTTTTTTTTTAACCCAAAGACCCAAAATTCAGTTCAGGACAAGTCAAAAATTTATATAGTACAATGTAACAGTTCTTATATCTATCACACCTCAAATATTTACATAAAACAATTCCTTTTCTTTCTCTTTTCGCTCCTTCTTCCTTCCTTTCTTTCTCCCTCTTCTCTTTCCTCACAAGCAAGTGTTGGCTTGCCCTACCTGGGGACAACAGGTACTGCGCATAGGAGAAAGGTGTAAAAAATAATTTGCCCAAAAAAAGTGTTTCAGAGACCAACAAGCAGAAATTTAAATTTAAAATCTCATAAAACACAAAAATTAATAAGGCAGACACTTTTGAGGGGTTAATTATTGGAAAACGTGAAAATAAATATTAATTTCAATAGACACAGGTAGCGCGTAGTCGTGGATGTGAGAGCACCGATTACCGGCGTAGCTACGGTCTTTCTCTGTGCTCTCATTGACTGTTGGTCACGTGTTCTTATACAGCCCTACTGACTACACATTTTTAAATTCAATTTTAAAGTAACATACAAAAAATATGGATATTTTGATTAATAAGTTATTTTTAAACTTTTAATCTCTCAAGATAGTAGAATAGTACAATAATAATAATAATGAAAGAAATTGCATTAATAGTTGTCACATTTAAGCAAAAATAATGTCTGCTTGGGGTTAGCATTAAAAATGCTATGGTTAGTGTTAATGAGAAGTTTATTCATTTATTATAATTATAAAAAATATAGGTAATTTAAAAATTAAAGTTAATTTTTAATTTTCGCCTTCATCACTGTCCTCTGGTTCTTCATCTGCAGAATCGTCACTCGAAAACATTTTCGGGCTGCGAACAGTCTCGGTTTGCCTCATTTGGTGCACGACCACGACCTGAGCCATCGACTGTCGGTCCATCAAAGCGAGCACCGACCGAGCCGTGCCTTGTTCCTGCGCAGTGTGTACGGAACTTTCGATCAGCATTTACCTCAGAGCGAATATCGAGTCTATTTTTGGTTATTTACAAATTGTGGCACTACTTAAATCTAAGCATTTTTCATTGCTCCACTCCGATCTGACAGATAAATTATTAATTTGAGTTTTATTTCAATTCCCTCACTCCTCGCGTGCAAATTCAATGAAATTAATCAAGCTTACGTAGTTTTCGCATTTCGTTTCACGGCAAATCACATCGCGGAGCGCCGAGGCTGCCTCGTTCGGTGCGCGGCTTGCCTCGGCTCAAGTGTATTCCCGGCGTAGTATGCAAACTTAATATTATGTAAACAAAAGATCACTTGTTTTGCTGTCAGAGCAACATTCATCAAATAAACACATGTAAAGGGATCAGGACAATAGTGATCAACCCTGGTATGTATAGGAGAGAAACATTTTAGCTAAGCTCCTTTATAAGAATGATTCAAAATACAAGATATACATATATGCCATTCACTAAAATAATTAAAACAATATAAATAACTTTTTCTGTAGGCCTCTCTATCATGATTTTGCTGAGGACAATCCCTTATAAAGGCTTATATTTCTTTTATTCCATGAATCAGAGTCAATACAAAAAAATCCAAGTCCTGTACATTTTTGAAATTATACCCTTGAAAAAATTGGAACATTCGGAAAAATCTACACCGTGTGATGATCTTTTAGTTCCGTTTACTACAAATTTCAATTTCTTCTTAGACGGAGTGACGGACAGTGTCATTCTACGTAGTGACCGCAAGACAGACAGTAACGCCACTCTTATTAATTCGTGAATGTTATCAAATTCACAATAAGTGTTCAAACTGCAGCAATGCAAGCTTGACGTCTTCTTAAAAATGATCGGGTTATCAGACGGGTGAATCTTCCGTTATTAACAAATTCAGCTGCTTCCGTTATTCTGTTCCGCAACTTAGCTAAATTTTCGATTGGCTATGACTAAACGCTCGCCAGTGAAAAAAAATAGAGTGAATGTAAGTCGGGTGAACGGGCTGGCATCAAGATTCTCTAGCCGAATGGGCAATAATGCGCCCGGTAAGTCTTGCTGGTACAACATGTCTCTGTAAATATTTTGTGGCACGTTTTGCAATATATTTGGTAAATGATTGTGTAAAAAGTCTAAATAAATTTCGCCATGCAAGAACTCTGGCATCTCAGAGGATACAATGATTCTTCCATTTAGAATCCTGTTTACATGTTTACTTCAAAACAATACTGTAATATACCTTGTCTCATCTACATGCTTCTCGAGTAAGTTGTGTAGATGCATGTAACCATCTTTTTTAAATGACGACTCATCAGCACATAAAATTTCCTCCAATAATCGCGGATCTTCCCGGTGCCTCTGTAACATTGATCGACAAAGCTCAACCTTTGGAAGATAATCTCGGGGTATCTGGCATCTCAGAGGATACAATGATTCTTCCATTTAAAATCTTGTTTACATGTTAACTTCAAAACAATACTGTAATATACCTTGTCTCATCTACATGCTTCTCGAGTAAGTTGTGTAGATGCATGTAACCATCTTTTTTAAATGTCGACTCATCAGCACATAAAATTTTCTCCAATAATCGCGGATCTTCCCGGTGCCTCTGTAACATTGTTCGACAAAGCTCAACCTTTGGAAGATAATCACGGGGTTGTAGAGATTTTCTCTCTGTACGATGTACGGGTGGAGCTCGTTCTTTCGCAAGATTCGGTGGGTTGTACTTTTGTGCACTCCCGGTCTTGCTTCTATTTGATGTACTGAACTACTCGGATCTTCTTGGACAGCTTGTAGTACGACGTCCTCGTAAGGAAATGAAATTCTTCCTCCACCATCTGCTTTATTGGAGAATCGTCCATCTGAAAAAAAATGAGCACATTTCAGCACCTCTCACGATAAAGCCTAGCTGAAGCACTAGCATTACATCTACATTCCCCATAAATGAGGTGCATATTGGTGTATTCCTAAACCGTGTCTACCGACATGGTGACACTTCACAATCATGAATTAATAAAAGTGGCGTTACTATTTGTCTTGCTGTCTACGTGGAATGACACTGTCCGTCATTCCGTCTAAAAAAAAATTGAAATTTTCTCTGATAACTATTATGACTTGGCCTATCCCCCGTGTCCGGCTCGACGTAGACTTCTGGGATACCCTGTAGAAGTGTTTATAAAAACCATCAACAAACTTGATGCTGGATATTTTTTTTGTTCCGTAGTGTGATATCGTTTAACGTACCTATTTCCATATTGTTTGTTTCAGGTTGATATTGAAGTAAATGGCGAGCCATTAGATATTCACATGAAACTTGGTGAAAGCGGCGAAGCCTTCTTTGTTGAAGAAATAGAAGATGATCAGAATGAAGAAATACCCGATCACCTCGCCACTTCGCCCATTCACGTTTCGGAATTTGAAAGCATGTACAAACAGGTAATGCATATTAGTCATACTACCTACAGGAAAGAAAGTTGGGCATTTGTAATATAGGGATCTGGTGGAGTGAAACGTTTTGCATTGTTTCCAGAAAACCTTTCTGGAAAAATTATGTAGCTGTAAATAAACGCAATTAGAAATGCGGAAAAGAAGGTATTAATGCAGAGCAGAGGATTGTTTCTCAATTTTTTATTTCTTTGGTAATATATTTAATTTATCTGTACATTATTCTATACAATTTTTACATAGGGGCAGATATGAGGGCTGGTGGGCCTTACGCATTCATTTATAAATCATTGATGCTCTGCTCATTGATGCTATTCACCCATTATTTAATTTATCTTTGCGTGTTTGGTACTTTTTACGACATGCTAATACTTAAACATCGCAAATTACGTAGTTCAAGTTCATTGAATATATTATCTCCCTGCCAATATAATAATAAATACGATATCAGATATCATATTGTATCTGCTTAAAAATGATCAAAGCAGAAACGTGTCTATGAACTTTCCCTAAATGGCCTATACCATAGTTGGAATGGAGTACAGTTGTATGAATCATTATAAAAAACACAATTTCAGCTGTGTTGTGAATCGGCGGTATTCAAACAAGACTTTTTCTTGAAAACTCATTTCATCAAAATTCCACAAGAATACATTTCTTTAGCCATAGGATTAGACTTTAAAAAAATATTGTTTTGGAGCCCTTACTATTATGCAAAAATTAACAAAGTCGTATTAGAGATAGTCCGCGTCTGTCGACCTAAATGTTTTAAATGGACACCATCATGAGATGCGTTTAACTGGTCGCTACGCTGTCAAAATTTCGTGCCCTTCAAAAATGAATAAAAAAAAACTAATTCACAGTAAGAGATTTTTAATAGAAACTCATAGAATTATCTTTTAATTTTTTTCTTGGATACCCTGTAATATGAGTGGTAAAAAATTATATACAAACCTGCTTTGAGGATCCCATTATTGATCTCGTACGTTATATCCTTCAGTTTTACGTTCCTCAGGATTAAGTGATCGGTCAATAATGGCTTCCTTCTCCACATATTTACGAATGCACATGTACATGGTTAAAATTCCTGCCATAGAAAATAATTTGGATCGTAGTCGTTTGAACTAGCGGACGGAATATTTTGGACGGGCTACGCCAAAAATTAATTGTGTATATTCAGTGAAATGACAGCTATAAGTTTTAAATTGATTTCGTTTGGCACATTTTATGTATTCGCATCATATTTATTTTTGTCTCGTTCGAGGAAATATACTGATTGCGTACTTGAACTTTGAATCCGTTTTTACCTATTTTGTTTTCTGTACGGGCAATGAATTGCTAGTCTAGATTTTTTTATTAACCCACCTATCGTGTGAATGTTTACAATATGAAAAAAACTTGTATGTTACATGTGATGTACACGCTCTTCAAGTTATTAGGTTTGTTGATTTATCGAATGCAAGTTTCAAATTATATAGTAAACCTGACATATGTTGCTAAACTTTTATAAAAATGGATGAACCGGATTTACTAATTCTAGTTGTCAACTGCTTCAAAACCGGTACAGTAAATCCCAGACCATAAAAAATATGCCAAGAATGAACAAAGGAACCAACGTTTTTTCTCTTTCTCTACATGTGACTGTAATATACGAGGTCTGTAAATTAAGTGATGAGACTGGTTTTTTAATTATTTTTATTCAAATATAATTGCAATCTTATATTGACACCCTCAAAATAACTTCCTTCTGAAGCCACATAGCGCTATAGATGGTTCTTCCACTCCTCAGTGCAGTGCTGGAACTCCGATACTGGAATAGCCTTCAGATGGTCGGTTACAGCCATTTGAATGTTTTCGACTGCCCCAAAATAAGTTCCTTTGAGGTGATTTTTCAACTTCGGGAAGAGAAAAAAGTATCAAGTGTTGAAAATAATTACAAATTAAGAAATTACGATGTTTAGTCGCAGTGAACTCGATGTAGAGAAGCAATGAAATCCGTGAAATCAGTGAAAGCAAAGCAAATGTCTTTGACAGCTCAAAATTAATACCGGAAAAATAAAAGTAACGAAGAAACTCCGAGTATTGAAAAACTGTCAGACAGTGAAATCTTTGAAATGTGGAGGTTTCAAATAAATATCATTTTTGAATCTCAAGGACTGTGTGAATGGTATAAAAATACTTGACCCATCGGCAACTGCAGAGCACAGGACATGTTGGGAAAAGAAAGATGCAAATGCTCAGAACTACATAATTACTACTTATGATAAAAAGATTCTGCTACATGTGATGAGTTGTGAAACATCAGCAGAAATATACAGAAAGCTATGCAGTATTTTTCAGAAAGACACTGAAGATCAAAAATGTGCATTGCTGTGTGAATGTTTGAATCTGACATATCAGAAACGAAGTGATTTGTCTCTTCACATTTCTAAAATTGAAAATTTTGCATACATACTAAGAAATTTGCATCAGGCAGTCAAAGATGAAATGATTATGTCCAAGATATTGTCAACCCTATCAAAGCAGTACAATTACGAGGGTGAATCAAATATGAACCGGTCTTTTCTGTTTGACGCGCCATAGGTAAATGGAGTGGGGCGACGTCTTGGTGTATGTTGGGTGGGAATATCAGAAAGAGGGGAGTCAGTCGGCTTGGCGCGCCGAAGTAGATGAGGCTGTTAGTAGCATCATGTGTGAGCAAGAGTTGCACCTGTCTATTGCGCAACGAATTATCATAACATTTTTGTCGCGGGATGGCGTACAACCTTCTGAATTTTTGCGTCGATTGACAGCACAGTCGGGCGATAAGACATTTTTAAGGGCACAAGTATACGACTGTCAAAATTTTGTCTAAGGAGTACCGAAAGCCTGAAGAGGCAGCACCGCGAAAAAACAAGACCAGTCCTTCTACAGGAAAAGTTCTTGCAACGGTATTTTGGGATTCCAGAGAGGTACTGCTGATTTTCTTCACGATCGCCGTACAGTTAATGCTGCTTATTACTGTCAACTGCTTAACCCTTTCGCAACGGAGGATTTTGTTACGAAATATGTCTGTCTTTACGGGGAAAACGCCGATTTATCCGCTTCCCGTTAGAAATGAACATACGTCTTTGTTTTTTTTATTTTCATACAAAAAAGGTTATTCAAAAAATACAAATACATACGAGTATATGTAAATAAAAAAACATAACGTCAGTAACAAAATCTGAATATACAAGTACAAATGAAATTTTAAAACAGTATTGCACTTTGTCGCCGGGTTGCACATTTGCTGATGGTAAAGATGTAAAACTTCCCGATTTCAAATTCTCCACGCCAGACGTTGGGAACATTGTAACTGGGCTGCAATCCGCCTAATCCAACCCCAAATTAATCAGTTCCAGTTCCTCTTGAACATTTTACCGGATACCATGGCCTCTAACTCAGTATTGCCGAAGTCTTAGAAATGAACGCGTAAAAACGGTTGGGGTAGGTTGGCATCCACTAGGAAATCTACGTTGATACTCCCGAGAAGCCGCTAAACCATTTCCATTATAGAATCCGTACAAAAAAATAATATCGGCGTACTCATCATTGTTAAATTCCATTTCACAACACTCAAAAATGGAGAAAATAAACTTTTGACTTGACTTAAAAAAAAATAATATAAAAAGTAGTAACGATAACAACGTATAACACGTAACTTTGACAAACTATCTCCCAAGAAACGTCAAGTTGGTATCAAGACCTCCTATTTTATTTTGAAACTAATTGTATCCGGCTCTGCATCTAATTTTTATTATTTTCATTTTTCGAAAACAGTGCACTCTAGGAAAAACATAAAAATAATTGTTTTTTAGCAAATTGAAGGAAAAATTCGAAAAATTGCGCGTTTGTTGCATACTATTTTTATTTGGAAAAATAATGCCACTAACCCCCTGTATTTCCGCCACTGGTGCACGTTTAAGTAAAGACTTTTAAATGTGGACAATACTTAGGTAAATCCACATACCATATTTTAGTTCATTCCTTTTACGGTTTTGAAGGTATTAAAAAAATGTTTTTTATTTTTAAACTTCCACACCCCGTATCTTTTTAATGAAGCCTTCGGGGAAAAAATGTTACATAGAAGACCCCTCCCCCACCCTGTATTAGTTTGTTCAGCAATCGTTTAGAACTTCTTGATCGGATATTTTCCCATTCCTCGGTGTCGCCATCGAAATCGCCCTCAGAATCTCTATTCTGTAATATTTCTATCAACTATTGTTCTGTTAACTCACTATGAGACATTTCCAAGATAAATATAACGCAAAATAACTAACGTACTCGCGATCAAAGAATAATGGTCAAATAATGAAATAAACGTGCTGCAACCTGTCTTAACGGTGCCACCTGTGCGACAATTCTCCCCTGTTCACCCACCACCAAAAATTTTCGGTTGTATGTATAGTATTTGGTACAAACAAATACTGCTGATCAATACGTTTCCCGTAGTTAATACACGTTTCCCGTATACCAGACACTTCTTTGTTTTTCGAATGTAACCGACTCCCGACGTGGAAAGGTTAAAAAAGTGAAACTGGCCTATCGGCGAAAAATGCCAGACATATCTATTCGATGTGCTATTCTGCTTCATGACAACGCTTGACCACACTCATCTGCAAAACAATTCAAATTTCGCAAAAAGGAAAATAAACGGTTGAATCTTAAGGAAAATATTTTTGTCGTAGAGTCAGGTGCCTCTTCACATATGTAGAAAGATTCGCTTGCTCAGAGTAAGGATAAGAAGTCTTTGTTGCGAGAACTTAATTCGCTTAGTATTAAGTCACAGAAGTCAAATATTCCTATTGATTTGCAAGATGTGGAACATATAAATAACTTTTTTATTGACAGCATACCTCGTGTGGCGTCTGGTAATCATATTGCTTTATATTATAATCAAAACAAAAAATATGTAATTTAGAGTTCAATTTCAAATTGGTATCTGAGCAAGACGTATTTGACGCATTAAGTAGGATAAAAAACACCAGACCAGGAAATGATGGCATTAGCATACATCTCGTCAAATTGTGTGTCCCGTATATTTTACCGTATTTGGTACATCTTATTAATACAATTTTTTTTGAGCGAAAATATCCAAAGTGCTGGAAAGTAGCCTTAATAGTGCCAATTCCAAAATGTAAGGAAGCTGAACAGCTATCAGATCTTCGTCCAATAAGTATTCTAGCTGGTCTCTCGAAATTGGTTGAAAAAATTATTGAAATACAATTAAGAACACATATTGACAGTCAAAGTATCCTTCCTAAAACACAGTCAGGTTTTCGTCCAGGATACAGTTGCACCACTGCACTTGCTAAGATAGCTGATGATATCATTCAGTCGAATGATCTGGGTGAGTCTACCGCTTTAATACTATTAGATTTCAGCAAGGCATTTGACACTTTTAACCATGATGTCTTGCTGTCTATCTTAAAGTCATGTGGATTGTCTACTGACAGCGTAAAACTTTTTAATTCATACTTAAGTGGCAGATCACAGTGTGTACAACTGAAGAATGAAATATCTAGTTCAAAGCTCACTACCACAGGTGTATCGCAAGGATCTATACTTGGACCATTGCTCTTCACTATATATATACTAAGTGACATATAAATCCGAACACCCAGTTTAAATGGTTTTATTTTAATAAAATTTTGTATAAGTACTTAATGAAGCATAATAAGTAAATGATAAAAATTTCAAAATGATTGCACTGCTTTAAAGCCCTTTGACCTTTAATAATGTATGGATGCACCCTGATGTGCTACGCATTCTCCAACGCGACTAGGCATGCTTCTGATCAGGTGGTCAATGTCCTCCTGTGGTATCTCATTCCAGGCAACCACCAACTCCTCACAGCAGCTGATTTATTTGGATTTAATATCAATGAATGCTCTTGCAATCTTTTAGAGAGGTTAGTCAAGTCACTGTTTATTTTCAACTCGGCAGCTGGCCAATCTGAACTAGGAAAAGAATAGTACAGCTGGGTATCATCCACATAAACGTGTGACTTACATAATTCCAAACATTTAAGGATCTGACTAGTATACTAAGTGACATATAAATCCGAACACCCAGTTTAAATGGTTTTATTTTAATAAAAGTTGGTGACTATATTTATCTTACTGTAAATAACAAGTGAAAAAAATTTTCAGCCTTATCAGTTGAATATTCCGGTTTTTATACTGCCTTTTTTTAATTCACTAACGCTCTAAAAATGAATATTTCAGCCGCAGTAAAGAATCAACGTTGGCGGATTTTGGTTCTTGACATCCTTTACGATCGGTTACGATGCCTAGAGTACGGAGACCTGTACGATTTCGTCAAGTTAGTGAGTTTGATAGGGGCCGTATAGTGGGACTTCGGGAAGCTGGACTTTCTTTTCGGGCAATTGCAGTTAGAGTGCAAAGAAGTGTAGACACTGTGGTTAGGTGTTGTCAGGCATGGCTTCGAGAAGGCCGTACGCAAAGAGCAAGGGGCACTGGACGCCGCCGTAGAACAACAGACCGTGAAGATCGCCGCCTAAGATTATTGGCCTTAAGGGACCGTTTCTCCACTACCAGGTCCATTGCAAATGAATGGTTTGCAGAACACGGAAGACCTATTGGCGTGCGAAGTGTTTACCGATGAATGAGAAGTTTTGGCTTGTTTTCATACCGGCCACTCTGGGTCCTCCCTTTAACTCGAGAACACCGACGTAATCGCCTTGAGTGGTGCTGACAACGGTCACTGTGGGATCAGGAATGGAACAGTATTGTCTTTAGTGACGAGTCTCGATTTTGTTTAGGCATGCACGATGGTCGTGCCACGGTTAGAAGGCGACGTGGTGAAAGGAGGAATCCACAGTTTTTTGTTGAAAGACATGTTCATCACACTGTGGGAGTTATGGTTTGGGGTGCTATAGCTTATGGTTCCAGGTCACCTTTAATCTTCATCAGAGGTAACATGAACGCGCAGCGTTATATCCACGAAGTTCTAGAACCCCATCTTTTACCCTATCTTGACACCCTGGCAGATCCAACTTTCCAACAAGATAATGCCCGACCACATGTTGCAAGAGTCACAATAGACTTCTTTCAACATAATGATGTCACATTGTTACCATGGCCACCAAGATCTCCCGACTTATCTTAATTGAGCACGTGTGGGATATAATGGGTAGGAGATTGCTCAAATTGCAACGTCCTCCTCAGACTCTAGAAGCACTTCGAGAGGAGTTGGTGGTTGCTTGGAATGAGATACCACAGGAGGACATTGACCACCTGATCAGAAGCATGCCTAGGCGCGTTGGAGAATGCGTAGCACATCAGGGTGCATCCACACATTATTAAAGGGCTTTAAAGCAGTGCAATCATTTTGAAATTTTTATCATTTACTTATTATGCTTCATTAAGTACTTATACAAAATTTTATTAAAATAAAACCATTTAAACTGGGTGTTCGGATTTATATGTCACTTAGTATATATGCTTGATGGATGTATTTACTGGCATAATGTTTCTTAAAATTTCAAGGGATGAGTGGAAGAGCACTAGATAGTGAACTCCCCCTTGTGGTTTTCAGACAGTCGACATTTGTTTTATGTATTTTTTTTTATTTTCCTATTTTTTGGTTAATACTCATGTTTCTCTTTCTGATTTTTTTTTGAGAACTTTTTGGAAATAAAGGCATTTATTATTATTATTATTATTATTACTATATGAAAAAACTGTAACAAATATCAATGTGGCACTGAAGCAAGAAAAAATGAAAAGCCTAGGAATAGGGAATATTGAAGATGAAAATTGTATCTTGAGTAATGTTCCTGAATTAAGTAAGAATCTGCTGTCTGTCAATGCTGTAACAGAAAAAGGTGGAATTGTAAAATTCACAAAAGAAAAGGTAATAATCAGGAATAGTACAAAAAGTATTAGAAGGAAGAAACCAAGAAGATATCCATACTACTACTACTACTATATGTAGCTAACATTAGTGTGCATGAAAAGAGTCTATTAACGGAGACAGTTGAATAGTGTTAGGTATAGCTGCAAGAAATAACTATCATATTAAGAAATTTGATGTAAAATATACTGAAGATCACAAAGTATGTCTTTTAAGAAAAGATTTGTATGATTTAAAGCAGCATCCATTACAATGGAACATAAAATTCACAAATTATCTAAAACCAAAAGGATTGACAGTAGCGAAAACAGAAAATTGTGTTTTCAAAAATCAAACTGGATCACTAATACTGGCTATTTATGTTGATGATGGATTATTGATTAGATCAGATGAAGAAAAAATGGAATAATTATTGAAAACACAGTTTGAAATAGTTTCGATAACAGTCCAGCTACTTTTTTAGGCATGGGAATACTAAAAGTTTCTAATGGAATTTTTCTCGAACAATCTAAATATATCAGGCATATTTTAGAATCGTTTCCTATGGAGAATTCAAAAACAGTAAGAACACCTATGGAAACTAATAAAGGAGAAAAAGATCAACATGTAAATAAAAAAATCCTTATCGTGAGCTGATTGGAAGTTAGCTTTATGGTGCAAGTAACACAAGACCAGATATTGCATATGCTGTTGGCTACGGGAGCAGAAAAATGGAAAATCCCACTAACAGTGATGTAGAAAAAATGAAGAGAGTGCTACACTACTTGAAACTGACTGAAAACTATGGAATACAATTTTATAAAGACTCTGATGGACGTGAAGTACTATCATACAGTGACTCTGACTTTGCTGGTGATTTGGAAACAAGGAAGAGTACTACTGGATATGTTGTAATCTACTGTGGTTGACCTAGTGTATGATGCTCAAGGAAGCAACCAATAGTGTGGTTGTCAAGTACTGAATCTGAATATATAGCAGCTTCAGAATGACTATTGTATTTGAAGTGTTCAATCGAAGAACTGATTTGTGAAAATGGTAATGTGTTAATCAGTGAGGTCAATCAGAGTGCGATCAGATTAGTTAAAAATCAGTTTAATAGGAGATTAAAACATATACACGTAGATGTGAGATTTCACTATATAAAAAAGGTGACAAATATTGACTAACTTGGTTTCTATTCCTTCAGAATATCAAGTAGCAGATGTTTTAAAAAAAACGATGATAATGAAATTTGTACACGAATCCTATATTTTATTGTGAAATAATGATAGTTAAAAATTTCAGGGATGGCCACTGTCTTGTAAAGATAAATATGGACTGGAGGGTCATATATTGCCTCATTTTGCAGCTCTTTGTATTTATAACCGTAGATTTCGATGTTAGTATCATCTTTATCTACTGCGAAATTGCGGTACATTTAATATATACCAGAATTCAGTTCAAAAGGTGCTGGAAGTTGTCTTGAAGTGCTTGATATGACGATAGCCTGTCTGACGATCAACCCGACGATGGGTTCTACGGACTGACCAGTTTGTTCGCCAGATTTCTCATCGTTAGAGTACGAAACTGTACTCTAATGCTTTGATTTTTTTTTTATTTTACAATATTACAAATTGTTCATGAGCCTTAAAATTGTGTATCAACCATTTCATCTAAATGTTTTTCCAAGGTGTCAGTCGCCACCTTTTTAACCGTCATGTCAACGCTCAGATATAATAGTACTCGTGCATCAGTTTCATTATGCAAACTAACCAGCGCAAAAATAAAGTGGCTTTTTTAATTTAGTAGAAATTGAAATACTACAACTAAAGGTATCTATTTTGACCTCAAATTCCAAAAAAGAACCTTATATAATTCCTGAATATTTTAATGACACAACTGCTTTCTATTTTTAGGGTAGAAGACGTAGCTTTGACGTTTCTAAGTTGGAACTGGAAAATCAAGAAAATGATTATACCAAAAGGAGAAACACTGCAGACAATGACGATAACAAAATTCGCGAGAAGAACTTTATCAAGCGTCACATTGAATTAGGTAAATGATTATGCGCAAGTGATATACTACTAAAAAACTGTTTTATTAAAATTTTGCCTCGCATGGCTCAGTTCGACCATAATTAGAAAAAAAACACAAAAATGGTTCTACACTGATGATGACGTTGCCCTTATGAGTTATTGAGGAAGTCACCAATGAGCATTTTTACACCATAGTCAGTCAGAGTTGCGCTAAGCGCCTGTATACCTCTTACCACATGGTGTGAACGGGCACAGAGCGAGCTAAATGCGCAGAATAAAACAATTGTTTAATGTTCTGTGGCTTAGCTAACCACCGCATAACCGTAACCACTGACATCACAAGTTGTTATAGCGCACTAGCGATAAATGTCGGATTGTAATGACTGAAAGCCTTCAACTAGCCGAACCAGTTTGAATGGATAAAATGACTTTTAACCACATGGTGTTAATTGGCGAGAGTTGCACGTGGTATTGCCAAATAGATCATTCTTTTTGGATATATTTGTTGTTCATCACTTGTAGTGAAAGATTAAGCATTTTTTTATCTTATTTACTTTTGTTTAAACTGGGTCTACCAAGTTTAATTTTTACTCAATGTGCAGGTTGAACATTAGAAAATATTTATGCAAATGTACCCATCAGAGCACTAACAAAATGTATCGGATATTCTAATGATTCTTTCACGTTCACTATACCACCCCATTCGTAGTCCATTTACGCCCAGACAAAACACAACATGCCCAAAAGCGAGATTGTACAGATCCGTATTTTCCTCAATGGTCTTAGAATAATCTAACAAAATAAGTGATTATTTCAATAGAAAGAAGTGCACATACTTTTCACAATTTTTTATTCGCTGGAAGTACTTGAATCATCGTCCGAATGGTTAATATTAATTATTACAGGTTCAATTTGAATATCGATCATATTGTCCAGATCCCACATCTGCTTTGACCATATTTTCATTGCAACTAATGACTTTTGATAGGAGCCATTGTTGAATTTATATCTTTCTTGTGGACATTGTGAGAATTTTTTCTGGTTTTCTATTGTGGTATGCAGCATTATCAAGTACAATGACGGCTTTGTCGTCAAGCTTTGGGAGCGTTTCTTCAAACCATCGTTCAAATGAACTCCCGTCCAATTCTTCATGCTAGCATAAAGCCATCTTCACTGCCAATGTGACAGATAACAAATCGTTTCCCTTTTCCTGGAAATAATTATTTCATATAGTATTCAAGAAAACTAATAATAATACAAGCAACGTATCTAACAGGTGTTGGTTCCAAATCTACCAGATATAGCTAAGTTTACTGTAGCTAAGTTTTCAGCGTGGGCTCATAGATTCAGTCTGCTTGACACCATTTTTACAACATAAATGACGAATTGGTTAGATACACGTACCTGACGGATTCTTTAGGCGAGTGTTTAGTCCATCTAAGCAGGCTTGTCTTGCTGATTTAATTGTGGAGTCAGCCCATACTTTAGGTTTTGTATATCCTGCATTTATCCAAGTAATAAATCTTCCTGCCTTGGTCACGGTATTTCTTTATTGATTTTAAATAATTTCTTCTCCATAAAATAATCTCTTGGCTTTCTGACCCGTTTTATATACTAAAAATGAAGTTCTTTCAGTAAACTATAGAATGTGTTTTTTTTGAAAGTAGGTAAGTCTTCATCACTATTAACCTCCTGTAATACTCTATGGTGGGGAGTTTAGTAATTTCTGAATATTTACCAATTCAAAAACACAAAGACAAGGTCTATGAAGGCGACTGGCAAACTTTAAAGATATACCGCACCGTGTCACCTCTTGGCGTACATTCTCTTTAGTCTTACTGTTGGAAAGTTATCAGACAGTTGTTAATTATTATGGACACATTCTGACTAAGAAACCCGTGCACTTGTAAACAAAAAGTGGGACATTTTCTCTTGTGCTATTAATTCCTGGTTATTCATTAAAATCATTGTTAGAAAAATGCAGACATTGCAGTGACTCTTCTTTCGTGATTTTCTTCGCATATTTTTCATAAAGTGTTTGCGTATCATGTCGTAAAATACAATATTAAATAATAATGTTTCCAATTTAGGTAACATTGATGTCGAGAACTCTGAAGACATGACCTTATCAGTAACTTCCGCGAAACACAGTAGTGATGACTTAAGTAAAAGTCAGAATGACGTCAGTGAGACTATTTTCAAGATGGATAGCTTGGATTTAGAAAGCAGCAGGGTGAGTATAATATTAAATAGTTTTTAAATGACTTTTGTGTAGTATACCATGCCGAAATGCCCATATGCACCATTTTAAGCTTAAGTTTATTTGTGCAAAGTTTGAATCGAAGCTGCAACGCTACATTTATTTCAAGGAATGTTTGTCAAAATTGGTAATAATATTAGATTATCAAACTTCAAACAAATTTTAGGTAGTGCTATAAAATAGAATGCATTTGGTGACATCACACTAACATTACATGTTATGATATATGTATGCTATATACTTTATATGTAACCGAACCTGCAATCGACCACAATGATTTCTAGTCTAGGAACGCCCACTAATGTTACGTCAGTTATGAGATTGATGACTCGAGATCGCTTTTTAAAAATTTTATTTTCGAAAATACAAAACTCAAAAATGTATTTTTACAAAATTATTACAATGTTATTGTGATGTTAACAGTACAAAGGCATCTGACTGACTATAAAATGTGTTGAGAACAATAAAGTAGACTTTAGGTCTTCTAGGAAATTAGTAGCATCGTCGGCAGTATACCTGGCCTATCAGCAGGAACGGCTGATATAACTCCTCCCCCCTGCGATTCAACTTTGGGGAAGAATTCTTCACGGAAGTTGGATAGGATGAAGTTCGACTTCTGGTTGCTGAATACTTCTATTTCTGAGCTTCCTCCTCTTCAAGATGGTTTTCCAGAATGTGTAGACACCCAAGAGTAATATACATCCATATACAGGGTGACTTTGAAGTTGAGTCATTAATTTTCAGATAATGATTGTAGAAGGAAGATAAACCAAAATATGTGTGTAAAAATAAAAAAAAAATAAAAAAAAATTTTTACCTTGTTTTATAAAGAATCCTCCCGACAAGTATTTCAGTGCGGACCTGTATTTGATCGCGAGGTCCCCTGTGAGGTATTAAGTCACCTGATTTACGAGCCCGATGTACTACATTAACAAAGGCACGAGGGGTTGGTTGCACTCGATTGGGAAACCGATCCGCATAAACATGTGCCATTTTTTATTTCGTTTGAGTCACGCAACAGACACTATTCACACGCGTTACCGACTGACACTGACTGTATGTATAACTGAACTGAATAAAATAATTGTAAAAACATCGTTCCAAATTCTTTCGCTTTTTTGTTTCCGATGCGATGAACCGATAAGGCGGATTATATCCGTTGTTGCCAAACACGAGCACATGATATTATTATTGAGACAGGGCGGTACTCAAACTTCCAAAGGGCTATAACTTTGTTACTTTAATTTTACCAGAAAAATGGTAAAGGAAAAAAACACTTCTTTTGATCAGATCTACTCACTGTTAAAATAAATTACTCAACTTCGAAGTCACCCTGTATTATCAGTGTCCAGGCACTGGGTATAAAAAAGTCTGCAGGTTTCTTGAAGTTCTGTTTGTAGTTGATAATGTTTGACTTGATTTTACTTAACTCGTCCAGCTTAATTTTTTCTAGATGCAGACTGAAATTTGTTTATGTGATATCGCCTTTAGTGTCCAGGTTTAAATCCGGGAATATTATAGGTTGGCCCGCGACAATCGTTTCGAGTTCATTTTTGATGATTTCATGATTAATTTTGGCTTGGCAGTTGACAGGAATATGAAGTAGATAAGTTCCCGTCAATGTTTTCAGTTGCATTTCTTCGTGGCATTCCATTTTGATAACTTCTGGTAGTGGCAGGATCAATACCCATTGATTAGTCGGTTGGATTCGTCCGATACTTGGCTAATTGATTATCAGTGGAGTTTGGGCACATGCAGGGGCGCTTCTTCCATCGAATAGTTCAAGTTCACAGGGTAACGGACCATTGATGTCTTGCACGTTGGTCTTCTCGCAGAGAAACTTTTTAGGAGGATTTCAGTACAAATGTCGTCAAAAAGTGCAAAGTGCAATTAATTTTTTTCCAAATAAGGCTCCTTTGGAACGATAGTCTTAAATTGACCTTCAAAATATATCGAGATTGGAAAGAGATGATATAAATTAAATGACTCATAGTATGAGATTGGGAGTGATAAAACGAATGTAATTTTGTTGCCCACAGAATAACTGGAGATTTTGATTCTTTTTTCAAAAGTTGGTATGTTATCTAGTAAAACTGGATCGCAAATTTTTTCTCGCCTAATCTTGAGCTCAATAGTTTCAGTTCTCAAAAAATTTCTTCGGTTGTAATAATGCTAGAGTGAATTGCTCCAAGACGTGCAAAAATTATTGAATTTTCAACGTCTTGTAATATTGACTTTACTTTGTATTACTTTGTAGCTGTTCATAATTTGAGATACTGTGTCTACTATGAATTTATGCTGATCTGAATCGATTGTAGCCCGATGAACAATTGTATATATGACAGACTTGCTGAACAGTTTTATTACACTTATCAATAAGAGACACTGACAGGGCATTATTCTGTGTGACACTGTTAGTCAATTCTCTTTGATTATTTTGAAGCTCTTGAATTAGATTTTCGAAACGTTCGCCATCATTGGCGGCAAGGTTTCTAGTTATTGATTTGAATATCGACCCAATGCCATTTAAATGTTTTTTTTTCTTTGCTTTGCATGGGGAAATATATTATGTAACTTTTGTTCTACCTGTCCCTGAACAAATTTTAATATTCTGAAATAATTGGACAAATATGTAGTGACACTTAAATTTGAAGAAATGGTTTCTGCTATACGTGAGGAGGAAATCGATAATTTTTCAATTTCAGAAAAGGTGGGATTCATATCATAATAATGAATGAGTGAAAAGTCATAGTCCTTTACTTTTGCTCCACCAATTTCCATGGGAACTAGTCCTGGATTATTGTCGAGGTTACGTATAGTTATGCTATCCTGAAGTCCAACCGTTACTTGCAGGAATCTGAAGATGAATAGTACCTACATGTATGTTTGTAGTACTTGGAGACATACATTTAGTTGCTAAATGAATATGGTTTGCGAAGGGGTCGCTTCAAGTTATCGATATGTTGTGTTTATCAGTAGTAGCGGTCTTTTTACCAGTGCTGTTAGTGTACATGATTTTTGGAATTTATTTGCATTTTTTTGACGTATATTTTTCTTAACGAATGCTTTCTGACCTGGTTGAAATATTTTTGGACTATCTCGAGCTCTGTCTGCCTTTTCAATGGCTTTTTATTTATTTTGAACAAGCGCCTCGTTAATTTTGGAATATAACAGCTTACTGCGTGCTTTGTGTTGTTCTACATAATCATTCAACAAAATTTGGTCTAAGCTGATGTCAAATTTATCTTTTTCACTGAGATGGCCATTTATGACATCGATGGGTTTTAATTTAGTCACAGAATAAACAGAGTTGTTGTTTTGCTAAGATTGCGTATATCATTTTCATTTTGACAGTGTTTTTTGAAAGCCTTGAGTGTTTAAAATTCGGAGTTGCTCAGATATTGTCGAATGAAATCTTTTGACCACGCCATTTGACTGGGGATGGTTCGCGGAGCAGAAATGTATTTCGATTCCTTGTAAACCTAATAACTCGGATATGACTGAGTTTTTAAACTCGATGCCATTGTCAGTAATAATTTGTGTCGGGAATCAATGATGGAAAAAGTATCGGATAAGGTTGTCAGCTACTTCGGTACCTGTCATTGAATTGAGATGGTAAGCTTGAACGTAGTTTGAAAAACTATCGATAATGGTCAAAAATTTAGATTTTTCAAATGTGTATGTGTCCATGTGAATTATTTCAAATGGCTTTACAGCAGTGGGAGTGATATTCATTTGCGCTGTAACAGGGCTCTCTCGTATTTGACATGTTCACAGATTTCGCAGTCATTTATGTATGACTGAACGGAACTTTTCAAATTTGGCCAATAGTACTTTCATTTTAAGCGAGAATAGGTTTCATCGATCCCGCGATGATTTGATTTCCCCTCATGATAATTTTGTATTAAACTTTTAATTTCATCATTAATAATTATGTCTAGAAGTTTTTCAAGACACCTTTTAAACTTAAACACATTTAAAATACTTTTGTAAAGCGCCTAAGAAGGGTTTGTATACGTCAGGATCTTCGAAATATATATAGTACGAGAGAAAATTTACAACATCTGATTCAAGGTTGTTTTTTGAAATTTGTACTAATAAACGCTGTTTTCTCTCAAATAAAATGATGATTTTCGGTTTGGCGGGAGAGTGCAGGACCGTGTTAATTACGATCTGATTTTGGCCAAAGTTCAATGGTTGGTCTGATATAGGAATTGTAACAACCGGGTGTTGATTATTAGAGTGCCGGGTTTCATCATCTTTTCAATTTCGTCTTCGTTAGTATTAGTTTTGTCAATAACAAAAGGAAGTTCTTGGTAGTCAGTTTGTTCTGTTTCATTGATTGTATCTTTGCCAGTATTTGTATTGTCAACGGTAGAAAAATCCTGGCAGTCAGGTGGATCTGTTTCGTTGTCCAAGTTGACAAACATTGAGATATCGTCTTGTTCAGGATTTAAATTGGGGTAGCTAATATCTTGAATTGTCAGTGGTGAGTTTGGATTAGCTTGTCTTATAGGAGGTGAGTTTAAATTTTGATCTACAAAGGTAATTCTTTGATTCTGATAGTTGGAGGCTTCTCCAAGGATGTCATCGAGTTGTTCCCAAAAATCGTTAGTTTCCTTAGTATGAATTTCAATTCTGGAAAGAGCGTCAACATTTGTATTGAGTTTGCGTTTTTTATAGATGATTTTGAAATTATATTCGTCGTTTCATTTTCCATCTCATTAATTTTGAGGAGGCGTTTTCCTTTAATGAATAAAGGTACTGGAGGGGTTTGTGATCTGTTATAATATTGAAGGTCTGAACATAGAGATAAGGTCTGAAATATTTGGTAGCCCACACTATAGCTAACAACTCTTTTTCGGTAGTGCTGTAATTTCTTTCCGAATCATTTAAGGTTCGTGACGCATAAGCTACAGGCAAATCACTACCGATTGGACCCTGATTAAGAATTGCCCCTAAGGCTACATTGCTTGCATCAGGTGACAAATTGAACGGTCTTGTGAAGTCTGGATACTGATGTATTGGATCGTTGGTAAGTAATGTCTTACAGTTTTCGAAACATGAACAACTTTTGCCCCTTTTTTAGTGAGAGGGTTGGTGAGTTGAACGAAATTTGGAATAAATCGCCGATAATAGCCTAGGGGCCATTTCCACCAACATTAATATTTGACAGTCAGTTGGACCAATAGGAAAACACCTTATCGAAATGCAATTTGACGGAAGCTGTCAAAGGTCTCTGAATATCAGTGATTTCTATTGAAATATTGAATGAAATCGTGAAA